ATGTATCAATTATTTTCTTAAAAATATAATAATAATATTGAACCCAACTACTTGAAATCAAGTACAGAATGATGAGTGATTATTTCTATAATTTTGATATCTAGAAATTAGTATATCAGAAAATTTATTCTAATTCATTTACATCTTGAAGTCAATCAACTTTTGTAGGTTTGAGATCTTTATATTCAATAGAACAGTTTCACGGATTTTCTATTTGTAGTATGGAAAAGGATAACTTTCTAAATTAAAGTTCGTTCGGTGACTAGGTATTCTGTATCCTGAATCCTTGCAAACCATTTAGGTAGATATGTAGTATTAGGTTAATAGTTTTTTTAACTGTCTATAGAAGTCATTAAAATAAACATATTTTTCAAAAAAACTCATAATTGAGAATCTTGCATTAATTTATTCCATAATGTATCCAATACAATCCTGTCTAACTTAAATAATGTCGACACTTCATTTTCAATTTACTAAATTGAATAATTTAAATTCACGAATTCAGATAAATACTACTGAAATTACACTCGGCTGAATTACAATAACCGGTTATAACAGGAAATCGTGATTCATTAAAAAAAAAAAACGAAAAAGAAACTTAAAATTATTAACGTAGCGTTACTATGCATACACAAGTCCAGTCCCAGATTTAAAATTTTAAATTATGTGTCTATCCTATTTTTGAGTTTTTTAAAAAAGATGTATATTTTAACGACTTTTGTGCACAGTTAAAAAAGTATTAACTGAGGATTCACCCTGTAACTTTCTAAATAAAAGTTATTAAAAAGTTTTAAAATTAATAGTGAGAAATACCAGCTTCAGCAAGAAACATATAGTATGGTAGGATCTTTTATTACAAAGCAATGAACGGTTTTCTGTTTGAGAAATATAAAGGAAGAAGAACTTCATATCAGTATTAATAACTGTCAATTTATCAAAAAGACATTAAAGCCTTCATAATGGGCGCAAAATACGAAACTTTGAAACATTAATTAATTTAATTATCAAAGTTTTCGACATTTACTGAACAGTTCGTTATTTACCGGTTCCAATATCGGATTATACTTTTTTCTGTAGGGACGGGGGTTTTAATCTTACGTGGCACTTTTATATTCTTTTCATTTCGGGTGTCGGATTTAATTAAAATCCATCTAATTACAAATCTATGATTTCATAAAATCACGCAATGTATTGATTTTGAATGGCTTTGTAGGAATGCCGTCTTTACTAACGAACCCTAGATGGCGCTATTGAAATGTAGCCTTATCTAAAAATTTGATTTGTTATTGTTAAAAACGTGATTGTTTACAGTAAGGGTTTAAAAAAATTTCTTATAATGGTTTTCGTTTAAATCGTTTTTAAAATTTTAACAAAAGCCTAACTTAACAATGCCTCAAATCGCTTCGTATTACATTTAAAATTTTGGTAATTTTTTAGTTAGTACCTATTGCTAGTATTATATGTTTATTAGTCGTTATTGACCTCGTTATTGACTAACTTATAATAATTTTAATCTAAAAATTTTACTCATCAAAAAGTCCACATTGGACTCTCTTAATGATTTCTAGGATAATATGAAAAGTTAGCATGATGATTTACTATAGTTCTGCACTCGCAATATGTTATAATGTAAGGTATGGGGTATTATTAAAAGATCTATTGTATCCCTCTTCTGTCGCTAATACGAAAAGGAAATAGTCTCTGACCCTTCCAATCCTATCTTCTTAAAAAAAATTTGGATTGGAGTAGTTTCAAGTTAGGTAGATCACCCTCTTCTCTTTGGTATGCTCCTAAGTATATTGCCCTTAGATTTTGGAGTGCCATACATTCAGTCAGAACGTGAATGGAGGTTTCGTTCTTCTCCTCCACCTCCACCTCTACTACTCTCAGTTTACTTAGGTGTTCTTTGAGTCGGCAATGCCTACAATAATAGCACTAACATTAACGTTAACTGCACAAGTTAGAACAACTTCTTCCTTTTGAGCCATCTGTTGAGTGTTAAGTTGTCCAGTAATTGCAGCACTTCTTCATTGACATAGGAGTGGAGTTGACCCTCATATTTCGTATCCATCAAAATTGTTTTTTTTTTCCTTGACTGTTGCCATCTTCAGGTCTATTTCAGTCGAACTAAAATGCAATAACGATTAACGAACTTGTATCATGTTAATATTGCTTAGGGTGGCACACTTCCAAAACTGTATGTCATAAATCCAGACATATTTTAGTTTTTATTTATAATTACCAGTTAATTCTACATTGACTGCTTAGATTTCCTTACTAAGAGCCATTACATGCTCTTTCCAATAGGTCATACATCTAGGTTCATCCAAGACATTTGGCCGAATTGTGATGGGAAATAACATCATTGTGTATTCTTATTTTCCACTTTTTTGGCCATCGATTGATTGTATTCTGGTTTCCAGGAGTTTTTCTAACAAACTGTAAACAACTGGTTTGCAGAAATCGTCGTGATTGGAATTTCCATCAATGATGAATTTAGTGACTAAAATCGGTTGTTGTTCCAAAAAAACATAGGTGTTCATCATATCAAACAGTGTAATACATTCGATTTCCATGAACATTGTGGTGTGAAAAAGATGAATATAGCATAACTTGACCGGAGCTATTAAAAAATGTATAAGAAAATGATCAAAACATTCGGTATTCGTATACAGCATCGTAACGAACTGGAAACTAAGCAAAAATTAACTGTTTAGGTGTTCCAAGATTAACCGAATTCAATAAAAGTTGTTCGTTTACAAAGAACTTTTAAGAAGGAAGCCGATTTCTTTGATTGTACTAAATATATCGCAACCATTTCTTCAGATCTAAGAACAGTTCCTGCTGAGTGGAACACAATATTTTCTTTGCCAGAAGGTATAGATAAAATCAGAAAAAACAGCTGAAAACATATCATCATCCTTCATCATGACAACGCCAGCTTTAACACAGCACGTCTAAAAATTCTTTGTTTGAAGGAAAAAACAATGAATCAATGTATCGTTTCCCGTATGCACCTGATTTACCGCATAATGACTTCTTTTTGTTCCGAGATGTCAAACAAAAAATGCGTGGATAGCGATTTTCATCACATCGAGAAACTGTTAAAGCTTTCAAAAGTGCATGCAGAAAGAAGTGTATAATATTGAAAAGTTAATATTTTTATTAAAAATTTTAAGAAATCTTTCGGAACCAGTGGGGACATTGAAAATAATGACTTCTTGTTCACATTTTTGTGATCATCATTTTCTACATATTTCCTTATAATTAAATAGGGAATATATTGACAGCGTTGTATTATCGCTGAAGTACCATGATTGCGAAACAAACTTCTTTCGAAATAAACCAGTTATAATCGTTGTCATATGGTTGTCATCATGCTCATAACACAAAATTAAAAAAAAAACTTTCTAAATATAATTTCGCGGTACGCTTGATAGTGACAGTGTCAATCGTTGGAACTGACATTCGTGACATTTAAAAAAAATATCGATAATAATTATACTACACCCATAAATAATTAAAACAGAATTATTGATATCAGCTTGAAGTAAATGCTGTCTGTATATCTACTGTGTTTATTTATTTTTGTTTATGTACCGGGTGTCCAAATAAGAAAGAACGCTGGCCCTATATCTAAGAAACTATTTATCGTACGAAAACTTTTTATAAACCATAGCCTATTTGTTTTTTTTTTGTTGCTAACCCCGAAATATGAACCAAGGCCATATCTGCCCTATACGTCACAAAATTGCCTTTTATTTGCCTGATGAAAAATAAAATCAGATAATGTAAGCCCATTGTATAGAGAAGCATTTTTAGTAATAGAAATTTAGAAAATTTAAACATAAAACAAATTGTTATTGCAAAATAAACTAATATGGCAATAAACTAGAATAGACTCTTATTAAAAGGAGTATTTACTGTCTATAAAATATGCGCCCTTATCGTCCTATCCATTGTACCTACTTGCCGAAGTGATAACTTCAAAACCTTTCATAAAATGGGCTCTCTACTGCGCATCTTACTTACACCGACCTACTGAATACTCCTAATCTGTATGTGTTGCGTCACTCGATAGCGACACCAACGTCTTTTGTCACAATGAATTAATTTTATTCACTACATCCATTCATTCCTGATCTAAAAAAAATTAGGAGTACATGAAAACCCACATTGCATGTCTTAACACTATTATTGCCATTTTTATGTAATTTCTAAAAATTATAATTAAGCAAATATATTCTTAATGGAATGTTTTATCCAAAAATCCTCTAATAACATTTTTTATGAATAACTAAATTATCGACATTTTTTTATTTTAAACTTTTTTCTGTCGTTTAATATTTATTGACTTATTACAGTAAAAGTTTAAAAAACAATACCAAACTTTTGATAAGTAACAAATAATATCACTGTCACCTATAGACAATTCGAAAACCAGCTTGTATTGAACAGTTGAACACTCGTTATTTCTAATCAAAATGATCCAAATTGTAATTTTATTTATTCACCCTGTCGTGCGCTCATGGTTCCAAATGCTAACATATGGGGGTGTGAGGGTGAATACATAACGAAAGTATATCGGCTCTGGTCACTGGCTATCCTGTCAGTCATTTCACGGCGATCCTTGGACAAGGATCTTCAAAAAAAAAGTCCTTTCGAAAAGTTTACACGCGCACGAGTGGCAACCACTCAAAATATCGCAAGATTATCATCAATTTGTAGATATGTTGTTCAAATCGTCCAATTTGTTAATTTTATTCATACCAATGATTATAGTCAGTGCATTAGTTTATTTACTTTTGAAACACGGGATGTTGTTTATAATATAAAATAAATAATACAATAAATGTATGAATATAAAAAAGTGGGATAGCATGTGATGTTTAAACAAATCCTTATCAATCCAAGAAAGCTTAATTATCTACATTATCGATACCTATAGTGTACATATCGAAATTTTAAATATTCAGTTATATTAATCATTCTACATCAATATGACATCTCTACTATCAGCTCTCAATAATAATAGTAATAGTATGCCGCAAAAAAATTATTTTAATTATTTGAACTTTGAGGCCAATGTGCCACATTTTCTGCCTCCATATTCATGTAAGTACTTGTTTTATTTTGTGTATATTTTTCAATGAATGAAAATAGATAAAAAGATTTATAGGTTATTTTTAGACAGTAGGTGCAGTTAACTTTTTAAAAATTGACTGATTAGATGTTTAATTTTTTTAAAAATTTGATGTTTTGTAGTTGAATTTCGAATGTTTAGACAATTTTAGACAAAAATGAGACACTAACATACCTACCTCTTTTTTATATTTCATGAACAAATTTTTTAATCTGTTTTTATATAGTGCATTTGCTGTTTGTTTAGTTCACTTTTCGAGATTAATATAAAATTCTATAATTCTGCTAAAATATTATGCAAATGAATGTAATAATTAATATCTTTATAATTTTCATATTCCTATAAATTAACCAAGAAAATGTTTATTAAAATAATTTTCTAAATGTTTGCGACCATTAAAAAATATAAATATATACCTACATATTTATAAAGAAAATATTTTTTTTTATTTTTTAACGTTTTAATTTTATAATTTCTTGATAGGTAAACATTTTATATTATTTTGAAAATGTAATATAATTTATTTGTTGAACAATATAATATAATACAATTTGAACAAAAATTTTTATAGTTTATACTAAGATAAAAGTAGGTACCCATATAAAGTGAAACAAAATTTTTTTAAAATATCTTTTTTGTTTTTTCATTCAAATTAATATAAAATAAATTTCAGTTGTTTTAAGACAGAATTATTCTTGTTTTTTTCTGAATTTCTCTGATTTTTTAAATATATTGAACGTTAATTTCAGCTGATTTTTCCGAATTTATTATTTTTTTTTTTTTTTTCATTTTTTAAATACATTTTAATTATTTATTTTTGGGTTATATTTTTGAAAATTAATACTCTAATTTTACATTACTTTCAATTCATTTGATTTTATATTTGTCAATCAATGGAAGTTACTTTTCTAAATGTTTTTCTTTATTTGTCTAATAAGATTTGAATTAATTTTCAGAATTTGTTTGTGAAAAAAATTGTAATGTGTTCTCTTATTATTAATTTTTTTTAATGTCGATTTATTTCTAACACCGATGCTGGTCAGCATGCTACCCTCAAATATCAGAATTTTTTGCGAATCCTTTGGTGTTCTAACCAGAAACGAGTCCAACATCTATGGACTCGGGACCGACGGCTTTATATATCCTTCGAAAGATGGCACACCCTACGATATACCCCGTACTAATTGATATAACGCCTGCCAGCTGTGGTGTGCAACTGTGTGAGCTTGTTGTTTAGGCTTCATAGGTACGCCGACTCCAAGTACTAATTGCGCGCGGTCCTTATTTAACTGCAGATATTCATACAGAGAAGTGAAGCTGCTAAGCTGGGCCTCTGTCCTAATGTGTTAATATTAATAATTTTATTTCAGATCAATGAATTGCATAAAATATTTATGGTCATCTTTATAAATACACGTTATTTTGAAGATATTTTGTTGTATAAAAAATGTTTGTAAATTTGTCACAAATTCTTGATTTGGAGCAAAACCGCTTATCGAATATCCTCATCGCTTTTGTAATATTTAATTTTTACGCTTAAGATGAATGGAGGACTAATGCATGCTGTCGAGACAGTCCTCCGATGGTACTGTTATAATGCCTGAAGGAAAATTAAAAAGAATCTGGGTATCTTAGTTGGATTTGAATCTTTCGCTTCTAATTAATTTCTATATCTCAGGACCTAAAGTGCCCCGATGATCGAGCGGTTAAGAAATAGCACGGTAAAACAGATATCATAGGTTCACATCCTGCCTGGATGCCCAGATTTTTTAAATTTCTCTTTGGTTTGTTATCACACTGGGTTGTTTAGGAATTAATTCCTTAATTTTCTATCTATTTTTATTAGATTTTGCATCTTTAACTGACATAAATCATTTTCCCTTTCCTTAATATACTATTATTTAAAGTAAATTGTTTCAGTATTCATTTAATTACCAAATGTGTTGATAGTTTCAAGTTTTTCAAATGGTAGAAAAAAACTTTGACAACATCTTTTTGTGTTTTTTTGATGTCATCTATCTTTTCGTTACTTGTTTCTATTGATACATATTATGAAGTTAGACAAACCGGGTCTTCTTGATTTATTCATGGGCTTTAATCATTCAAATTATCTTCTTTCATTCATTCTTCTTCGTCCAAAACAAGCATATATTTGGCCCATTCTTTGCCACTGGAGTTACAGGTAATAAATATGAGAGAGATATATAGTTTATTGTTTTGTTTCTATAAAAACTATAGTTGACTTTACGAAGAGTACTAAAATAAAAAAATATATAACTTAATTTAAACATGCGCAGGTCTTAAAAATAGAGATAGACAAACCAAATAATTTCAAATAATAATTCCTAAGACAGCCAACCCTGTATTGGTTACGTAACGAATTGCAAAGGGAAAATTAGATTTTATATCAAATTAATTGCAGTTTCTGCCACTGATGGCTATAATTTGGCGACAAAAAACCATTCCCTATATATATTGGAAAACCAATTAAGAAACATATTATTGCCTTCTTCTGGTCCGTTAATTTTTTTCCCCACACAGAGGACTGAAACGCGTATTTAACAACTTGATAAATTTTTCTTAATCACCGTGCAATTTATTAGAAAAATTCAATTTGTCCGGCAAAATGGATATAGAATGAATTGGAGAATTCGGCACACAAACGTATTTTCGTAATATTACACCTGGTCAAGACCGACCAACCAGCAATTTTGTCTTCACCTAACCTATCTAAAGATAAGATATTCACTTAAGAATAGTGTCCTTCTTAACAAATTATCCAAAGGTGGTATATATGAATTAGAATGTAATGATTGTGAAGATTCATACATAGGAAGAACTTGTAGGCCTTTGAAAGTTCGTATATACATGAACACTTGAGTAAACCTAGAGAATCAGCATTTGGTCATCATATTAGATTCACTAATGGTAATTTTAACCCTAATAGCTACTCAAACATTTCAAAATACAATAGTCTAGATTTTTTTTAAATTTACAAATTCTAAAAGAATTACTAAGCAATAACCTATGTCTGAATACACAAGTACAATTAAGTAGATCTTATGTTCCCTTATATAAATTATTAAAGTAGCACAGTTACATCAACACCTTGCCAATGGAATGATTATAAAAATACGTTTTCCAGTGTGACCAGCATATATTTTATGCTCTTTTGGCACATACCTGTCATGGTAAACTCTAAGTTGATATTTTTTTTAACTGTGTCATTAAAATAAATAATTTTTTTAAAAAACTTAAAAATAAGAAAATAATTTATTCCAAAATTTATCCAATACGGTCCCTTTATTTTAACATAAACGCACTTCAAGACAAATGCACTTTACGTCTTCTCGCATGTGCTCCACGATGTTCTCGCAAATTATCCGTATCCCCATAGCCCGTTGAGTTAGATCAATAAAAGTTCTAGGACTAGGATATGTTCGCAAGGTAAATCTGTTGAAATTACGGTATTAAAATCACACAGTCGACAATTACAATAACAGCTGGGTCGTGATTCATACATAAGAAATTTAATTTTTTAAACATAAGTTCAGGCCCGGATAAAATTTTTTTAAATTCTATATTTTTTCTATTTTTGATTTTTTTGAGAAGTTTTTTTACTTCTATATACAATTAACTTAGGATTCACCTTGTATATAACAAAATGTTTGTTAGCCTACAATTTGAGGTTTTAGTTTTTGAAGCCTCTTGTAATTACTTACCGAATAGGTAATTTGATATTTAAAACATAATTTTTATTGCTTTTTAACTATTAATTTGATAGGTCACCGTAGGTAGAGCACTGATGATGGCATAACACTCAAAAGGTCTTTGCAATTTTAATAAATACTCGTAAAATCATTACTCGAAATACAAAAATCTTCTTTGATTACTCTTCTTAAAACCCTTTCTCTTAACTACGAGTATATTACTAGGTCCGAAGGCTTTTCCTCTAACTCTTCTTTTCATGTCATGTTGATAGCGCAGCTGAGCCATCTCGTTAAAATGATTGTAAGGCTTCGCTTGGCGCTTTTAAGCAAATCTCTTGATTTATTCGTTACCATGTTGATGCCCCTATGCAGATTTGTATTCTAAATATAAAATGGAACGTCCACGAAGTTCCGAAGTACTTTGTTTTGTAATTTTTGAATGCGTGCTATGTTGGTTGGTTTGGCGTGAGGGCCACTCGCAATCTATTAAAAATCTCATTTTAAGCTTCGCATATTTCCTAACGACTAACAGTACGAATTTCCATATTACATATGTGTCAAAAGGGGCTTCAGAATCTGCTTGTATATGAGCAGTTTCATCATCAGTGATTTTCTGCCTATGAGCACATTTTTCTTTGGGGTACGACTAGTTTTTTCATTTCTTTTTCACATGCTCCTTCTATCTTAACTTTGAATACAGGTTCGTTCCTAGATATTTCGCTTTAATTTCATATGGTACCCTTAGTCAATTCATTGTCAGGTATAATAGATATAAGGTTTTTGTTTAACGATGTTTCTTCATTAAGTTTTATTCTTTACTTTTTTGGTCCTTTCATTGAATTTATTAGTGTAACTTTGTATTAGTGTAGCTTTCCACATTCGTTCCTGGTGCTAGGCGAGCGGTATTATCTGCAAATTTGGCGGTTTTTACATTGTTTTAGTCTGGAATATCGTATGCATAGAAAAAATATAAGACTGGATCAAGTACGCTGCCTTGCATTACTCCTGCTTTTATTTGTTTTGGATGTAGGTTTCTTCTGAGGCTCTGAAGAATCTGTTATATAAGATTCTAGTAATTTAACATATTGGTTTCAATTTATTTATGACTTCCTCATACCTTATCAAATGCTTGGATGGCTTCTACAGACAGTACTGAGCATACTTCTTTGTTTTCATATACTTTTCTATTAAATCTGTGATTCTTTGTACCTTGTCAATTTTTGAATATTTTGCTTTCTATAGCAATTTTAAGCCTCTTCATA